CACACACACACACACACACACACACACACACGCACGCACAACCATCATGACCACAACCACTACCACCATCACAAGAAAGAAGGGCACTTCCCACCGGCTTTTAGTTCCCTGATCGGGCAGGTAAGGACCTTGTACTGAGCGTCCTTCTCCAACTGAGACGTCCAAAGAACGGAATCCGTTCCTTGACTCATTGTAACACAAACGGCAATGACAAATCGTAGCATTAAACACACCGGGGATGCTGAGCGCTGCCACCTGGCTGTGTAGTCACAGCACAGAGGACCAACGCAAACCAACCCGCTATAAGCTGTGAAATGTGCATTACAGTGTGTTCAGAGCTAAGCTGCCGGCGGAGCTGGCCTTGCGATATGAACAGGAATCTCAGAAGCTGCCTTCACTGTGGCGCAATGCAGCCTTTGGCCACCAGAGGCACCGCGAGTCTGCGGCCTGTCAAAAACAGGCGCTTTTTCCTCCCCTTTCCTTGGTGAGCCTATCAATTACATCTGTCACAAATTTTAAGGTTAAATCTCTGCTGAAGCAAAGCGAGCCCCAGCTGCAGCGCGCTCAGAAAGTGGACTGCCCACCTCTCCAAAGAGACAGGGAATTTGAAAGGGTGAAAGTGAGGGCCAGAGCCAAGACCCAGATCGGTTAACCTGGCTCTTGGCAAAGGCTCATGGCCCAGGCTGGGAACCTGTGCCTCCCTAACTGCCTCACCATGGGAGAGCCAGACTGAGTCATGCGGAGCCGAGCTATCGTGCTCTGATATTTGTAGCAGAAAAGAAATACAAACTATCCTCAAACATTGTCCAGGTGTGGGCAGCAGGCCTATTTATCCCAAGCGAGGCAGGAGGATCCCTCCAAGTTCAAGGCCTGAAGATTCCATGTAGTCACTTCCAGGTTAGACCCTTGCTAACATCCATTTTATCCTTGACAATCAGTGATTCCAGTTCCTCAGAAGGTCAGACCGGAGATACATCTTCAATTTTGTGTTTGTTTCAGCTTCTTTAGAGAGATCTCAAAACAGCCTGCAGGAGAAACATCTGGAAACCTTGTGTTCAATTCTGGATTCCTGGCTCCTGGAGTCTGTCAGCTGAACCCCAGGAGGGCCTGGAAGTCTGCATTTCCAACAAAATTCAAGGCGGGGGTACTGTTGCTGTTCAGCTGTTTACTGGGGATCATGTTCTGGCCATCTCTGTTCTGGAGGTTATAAATAAATGGGTTCATCTTTACTGGTCAGGTGACCTCTAAGCCTTGATGCAGGCCTCAGTGGGGGATAAGGGAGGCCAAGATCTCTGCTTGACCTGAAGACTCATGGCCTAAACATGAAAGGGGAGAGAAGCTGGTAGCCACCCCAGGCTGTTTTCCTATCATATACACAGACCTTTCTGGGTCACAGGCTCGCACCTGGTAAGAACACCACATCTGTGAACACTTCACCCTCCTCCCTCCACTCATTGACTTCTCAATTCTGAATCCACCTGACACTTTGATCCCCAAGGTCACCAGGGACAGAAGCCGTATTACCCACTGGTGGAACAGGCGGGAAGACCAACCGCCTTCTCAAAGTGCTCTTTTGTTTTTTGTAGTTTGCTCCTTGGGACTCAGTGCTCTTCGGCTGCCCACCTGACTGCTTGCTGCCTTCTCCTCCAGTTTCTCTTTCAGGGTTTTCCTTAAAACCCTTTCGTGTGCATGTTATTTATGTGTATGGACATCTCACCTGCACGTATGTCCATGTGCTGTGTACACGTAGTACCTGCAGAGGCCAGAGAGGGCTTCAGAGACCCTAGAACTGGAGTTAGAGACCCCTGGGCTGCCATGTGGGTGCTGGGAACTGAACCTGGGTCCTAGGAGAACAGTCTGTGTATCAGCTGTTGAGCCCAGACCTGTTTTGAGGTCTTTCTTTCTGCGTTCCCTTTTTTCCTTTCCATTTTTGTGTATGTCTGTGGAAAGCTTGACTGTGTATATGTGTGTGTGTGTGCATGTATGCGGGTGGGTTTGTGTATGTGTGGTGGTTTGAATGAAAACGGTTCCTAGAGGTTCATATATTTGAACTGTAGGCCCCTAGAGGATGGAACTGTTTTGGGAAGGATTGGGAGGTGTGGCCTTAGAGAAGGCTTGTCACGGGGAGTGGGCTTTGAGGTTTCAAAAGCCTACACAAGGTTGTGTCTTGCTCTTTTCCACTTGGATGTTGCCAGTTCTCAGCTACTGCTCCAGCAGCAGGCCAGCCTGCCTGCTGCCACAATCACCGCAAAGATGGTCATGGACTCACTCTTGAAACGCTAAGCAAGGCCCCCACCCCCAATTAATGCTTACTTTTATAAGTTGCCTTGGTTACAGTATCTCTTCACAGCCACAGAACAGTGGCTGAGACGGTGGATGTACCTGCACATGTATGTACCTGCGCACATGTATGTGCCTGCACATGTTTGTGCATGTGCACATGTGGAGGCCCCAGGTTGGTATCTGAAATCCTTCTCAGTGGCTCTCCCACCTTATTCCCTGAGGCAGGGTCTCTCAGTCAAACTCAGAGCTTGAAGAGATGGGTAATCTTGGTAGCTGTCGGTCTTAATTATTGATCCATTGCTGTGATGAAACACCATAACCAAGGCAACTTATAAAAAGAAGCATTTGATTGGTGGCTTGCTTGCAGTTTTAGAGGGTTAGTCCATTGTCATCATGGTGGGAAACAGATGGCTGGTGGCAGGCAAACAGACATGGTGCTGGAGAAGGAGCTGAGAGCTCCCATCTGATCCACAAGTTGCAGACAGATGGGAGAATGAAATCTCACAGCCCACCCCAGTATCACAAGACCACACCTCCTACAACAAGGCCACGCCTCCTACAACAAGGCCACGCCTCCTACAACAAGGCCACGCCTCCTACAACAAGGCCACACCTCCCACTCCTTCCCAAACAGTTCTACTAGGAATGAGTGTTCAAACGTAAGAGCCTATGCAGGCCGTTCATATTCAAACCACCACCCTCTTAGTTCTGTCTTCTGAGGCTGGAATTACAGGCAGACCCACCCTGCATTTATGGGTTCTGGGAATCCAGACTCCAGGTGTCACGCTTGCATGGCAAGCACTCCATCACTGAGCTGTTTCCCAAGCCCCTCCTCTGTCATGGGATATTTGTGCACTGTGTGAAGATGAATCACTGTGATTGGTTTAAAAATGAACTGAGCCGGGCAGTGGTGGCACACGCCTTTAATCCCAGCACTCAGGAGACAGAGGCAGGTGGATCTCTGTGAGTTTGAGGCCAGCCTGGTCTCCAGAGCGAGTTCCAGGCTTCAAAGCTACACAGAGAAACCCTGTCTCAAAAAACCAAAATAAATAAATAAAAATGAACTGAATGGCCAACAGCTGGACGGGAGAGGAAAGGTGGGATTTATGAGAGAGAGAGAGAGAGAGAGAGAGAGAGAGAGAGAGAGAGAAGGAATCAAGGCATGTGGGATCCACCAGTGGGATGCAGGGAGAGTAGGGCTTGCAGTATGGACATGAGGTAATGAGCCACGTGGCAAAAATGTAGATTTAAAAAAAAAAACATGGGTTAATTAAGTTATAAGAGCTGGTTGAAAACAAGCCTAAGCTAAAGGCCAAGCTGTCATAATTAATTACAAGTCTGAGTCATTATTTGCATGCTGGCAGTCCTGAAGGGAAAGTACTACTACACTGCTTTCCTTTTTTAGGGGCTGGTAGATAGTCTCTGACATGGGTGGCCATCAACTTTTCTCCCTTATTTTGTAATAGTGACATCCAGGTGAAGACCAAAACCTGTTTTCTTTTCCTTAGAATCTTGGGCAGGTGTTGTGGGATATTCAATTGCATTGTGAAACTCTGAGACTGTGTTAATAAAATTAACTGTGGATCAGGGGGTAGAGCCAGCAACTGGTGGACAGAAATTATTGCATGCCTTTAATCCCAGCACTCGGGAGGCAGAGGCAGGAGGATCTCTGTGAGTTCGAGACCAGCCTGGTCTACAAGAGCGAGTTCCAGGACAGCCTCCAAAGCCACAGAGAAACCTTGTATTGAAAAACCAAAAAAAGAAAAAGAAAAACAAAAACAAAAAACAAAAGAAAAACAACAAAAAAAACAAAACCAGAAATCAGCTGTAGAGAAAACAGAAGAGCCAGGAATATGGACAGAGACACACACAGTAAGAAGTTGGGAGGGACTTAGAGAGCTGTGGTTTTAGGTTTGGGACAGTGTGGGAGATGCTCTCTTGCAGGGTCTCCCCAGCTAAGAAGGAATGTCAGCTGGTTGCTTCTCAGCCTCTCTGATCTAGCAGGGTTTCACCCCAACATCTGGCTCCTGTGTCTCTATTGGTAAATAGAACAACTTAGATAAAAACAACAGGGAGGCCTTTCTGACATCACTAGTCTCTCTCTGGTTTTCCAATGTAAGGTCACATGACACTCTAAGGTATCCGCCCGAGTATCTTGAGATGCTTGCTCTGGAAGTGACCTGGAGACCATTCTTGTGACATTTTGGTCACAAGTGTATGTCTCTTAAGTCATCTTGCAAACCACAAGTTATCAAACTGGGAAGCACCCAAGGAGTGTGTGTGTGTGTGTGTGTGTGTGTGTGTGTGCTTTTTCAAAACCCATATGCCAAGACTAACTCCATTGCACTTCAGGTTTTCCCTGGGGACAAAGGAATGTCGGGTGTGTGGAGACTGGGGGTGGTGTTTCCCAAGCATATTTCTGCTTAGCCAATCGTTCTTGTGATTATCAAACTTTCTAAAGTTGGAGTTATCTTTGGGAAAAATGATAACTTTCACTACTAAGTACTGACAAGCAACAAATAAACAAATAAAGATGGAGCAAACCTCTTACTGCCCTCCACTGACTACAGTGTCCTGTTAAATTAGGAAGAGGAGAAGCCTGCGGATGGGAAAGGAATAGCCAGAGAATAAGGCCTTTCAGTTGATAAAGTCAAAGCTTTTCTTTTTCAATATTAATGGAATTTCAGTGTAAACAGACCACAGAAGGCATAGCTGTTCATCTTGAGCCAGCATTTTGGGATTACTGACTCTAAAACATTAAACAAGAGGGTCACGATACTGAATATTGGGTTTGAAGGAAATTGACAACAGCAAAGGGTTTCTGAATGTACCATGACACCAACTTTATTAAAAAAAAACAAACACCTAGGAAGCAGAGGAGGCTCAGGCAGCATTCACCCAGGATGCACCGAATGACTTCCCTGCAGCCTTTGTTTGCACTGTGCATGCTGCAATGCCATGCAATGCCAACAAGTGCTGCCTAATGCACCTCAGCCCGGGTCAGAGGCCTTGGCGTGTTACAAACCGCAGTGTTTACACATCACTGATAAAAATCTTCTGTTCTTACAGAAACTCAGGGTTTAACTGTGGGAAGCAAAGCCATTTACTTTTTTTAATTCTTTATTTGATTTTGGGTGGTTGTGTGTGTGCATGCGTGGAGGGTACAGGTGTATACCCAGTGTCTTCCTTGATCCTGCTCCACCTTATATTTTGAGACAGCGTCTCCCACTGAACCTGGAGCTCATCAGTTGCTGGGTGGGCTGGCCAGCGAGCCCCGAGGATCCTCTTGCCCAGGGTCTGCAATGCTGGAGCATAAGTGTGTTCTGCCATACCCAGCTTTTTTTTTTTTTTTTAATGAGGGTGAACGGTGATGCAAAGAGATTTTTCACACCTACGTAACAAGCATTTTCCCAACTGCACTATCTGTCTGGACTGGAAAACAGACGATGGTATTTCTACCCTCACTTCTCAGCTTGTAAGTATCAAGTTGTTGTATTTTTTTTTATTGTATTGCATCCCTTTACACTGTGTGAACTTTTATCGCTGCAATTGTTCTAATAACTGCGATTGTTCTAATAAGAAGCTGTCTGGCCAATAGCTGGACAGGATAAGGTCAGGTGGAGAGCCAAACCAAGAATGCTGGGAGGAAGAAGCCGAGAGTCTGGAGTCTCCAGCAGACACAGAGAGGAGCAAGATGGGCATGGCATACTGCGAAGCACAGGGAAGAAATGTGGGTTAAACTGAGATGTGAGAGCTAGCTAGTAACAAGCCTGAGCTAGAGGCAAGAATTTGTAATTAATATTAAGTCTCTGCTGATTATTTGGGAACTGGTGGGTGGGAAAGAGAAGTCAGTCAACAAATGTTTGATTTTTAAAATTGCTATTTGACCAATACTAAGTATAAATTAAAGAAAAATAAACACATATATTTCTACATAAGAACTCTT